TGGGCTCCTAAGCTCGTCCCCATTGGCAGGCCCCAAGGCATGGCCGCCGAAGAGCACCTCGGCGGCTGTTTTGAACACGTGGAAGCTGTTTGGAACACGGGGACTCATTTTACCCGGCCAGCGGCGCAAATGAGTCCCTTGGTCGCACGGGGCCCGCCGCCCTCCTCCCTCTCCCTTCCCCGTCCCCACCAGCGGCCCCCACCGCGCCTCACCGCCTCATCCCTGCTCTCCTCAGCTACCGCCGCCACGCCGGTCCCCGCGTCGGCCGGCTGGGGGCTGCAGGCACGTCGCTTCCTGGCTGGGCTCGGGGAGAAGAAGGAGTAGAGTGTCTTCTGGCCGATCATCCCGGAGCCGAGGAGGAAGCAAACACGCGCCGCCCGGGGACCCGCGAGGCTGGCGCTAGCAGAGGCGGTTTACAATTGGCGCCAAGCGGACCGCGCATGCTCCGACGATGGGGGACGTGGGGCTGGGCAGGGGGCGGCGGAGAGCCTAGTGCGCATGTGCAGGAGGGGGCTGCTGCGCGACAAGCGAGGTGGGGCTTACTGTACAGTGGCCGAGGGCAAGGCCATGGTTGGGTTCACATTTATTTGTTCTTTCATTCATTGTATTCACTCATTTACCTCTGCCTTAGGGAAGTCTCTCCACCTCTCCGCCATTGGGAAGAAGTACCTGGCCCGCAGGGTATGAATTTAGCATTAAAATAGTATTCGGTTTGCTCATAGATACACGATCTCAGCCAATTTTTATAACCTATTTTACCGACTGCAAACTATGGCCAAGAGAGGACCAACATTTTGCATAACCTGTGTGGTTTCAAGTAGTCTGAGGTTGTGAAAGTTAAACTTGAAACTAGTCATCTTCTCAAAGGCACCACCAGTACCCCTAGGAACACCTGGGATTCTTCTCTCCCTCCCTCATCACATCCAAACCATCAACAGGTCCCCTTGGATCCGTCGGCAAAATAAACCCCAAATTCAACTGCAGCTCTTCATCTCCTGACTACAGTCCCAGCTGGTCTCCCCTTTCCTACCCAAGTGGTCCTTTTGAAACGCGAATTACATTATGACAATCCCCAGGTTAATAATCCTCTTCTAGTTTCCAAATAGACTTAGAACAGAACTTCCCCTTCTTACCCTGCTGGCAAGGTTGCTTCCCTCTCTGACAAAAGCCCCTTCTACTGTGCCATGACTGAAGCTGGCTTTTAGCATATCCACTGGCATATCCAGCTGGTGCCTAGTGTGGCCTTTACACCCTTGCACATGCTGTACCCCTGCCTGGAAAGCTTCAGATCTCAGCTCAGGACCTTTGCTCTGAAAGGCCGCCTCCTGACTTACCTTCTAGCTTGTTACTCTATTGATAGCTTGTGTGCTAAGATGACTGTGTTTATTCTTTCCTTGTTATTTTCTGTCTCCATCTCCAAAATGTGACCTGGGTGAGGGCAAGGACCTTGTCCTTAACTGCTTTTGTGTTCCAGCGCTTAGGACTGGGAGCTTGCTGTGAAAGGAGAGCAGCTCATAATTTAAAATCATTTGCCCTTATAGCCACTTTGAAAAGCAGTGCAGCAGTTTTGTATAGTGAAACATTTACCATGTGCCCCAGCAAGCCCACTTCTAGATGTATTCACCCCAGTGAAATTAAGACATGTTCACAAAAGCTTATGCATGAATCTATATAGTAACTTTATTTGTAATTGCTCCAAGCTGGAACACAACCCATATGTCCCCCAATAGGCAGGTGGGTATGTTGCCGGGCAGTTGCATCTGGAAGGTCTCTCCCTGTGCACTAGGTAAACTTTTGGGCAGGGGCAAGTTCTTGACTCTGAACGAGACTTTCTTGAGCAGGTTGGAAGAGTGTATGTAAAGAAGGAATTCATTAGAGCAAGAGAAGTAATGAATGGCAGTGGCCTTGCAGGCAGCTGAGAGCATGAAAGTGCAGCGGGAGCTTGCTGAACTTCTTGGCATAGGGCAATCTCCCTCGCCAGCTCCTGAAGCCAGGGTCACCCGGTGTCCCATGTCCGCTTGGATTTTTGGATTTGCACAGTGTGGGGGCTAGGCTCTACCACCCCAGGACTTGGGGGAGCCATGGGGCACAGGATGAAGTGAGATTATGTTCCGAGAACTTCCCAAAGGCAAAGAAAAGAGATTTTCAGGTAGGCTTTTAAGGAACATGATTGCAAAGCTGCAGTCCTGTTCAGGACATCCAGGTGACAGGAACTTGCAAGCTCCAGATCAGAGCTCTCAGCAGCCTCTCCCTATTTATCTGAAGTAGAACAGAGTGACACTCAGAGAAGGGCGAGTGTGGGCAACCTCAGAGAGGAAGTGTGCCTAAGGGTTTGGGGTCTTGAGTTTTCTAGGTTCTTAAGGATTTTTCAGGAATGTGACAAAGGGCCAAGGGGTGTAGACTTGTTAAGTGGTCTCAAGATCCTTACCTCTGGTGAGAGACATCATGTCTCCTCTATTGGCTAAATTGGCTAATTTGGCTAAATAAATGTATTGATCCGGTACCTTCTCAGGATAGTGACTTCTCTCTGGGTGTACTATCAATTAAGACTGCTTTGCTTTAAGGTGGGTTATTGTCTGTTTATACTAAAGAATACATTAGGAATCTCAACTCCCTGGGTTTTAAGATGGACTCTTAGCCTTAAGATGGACTCTTTCCTGCTTTTACTGTATCTCGGCTTTTTTGGGGAAACTAATCATGATGCTTGTCTCCTGTCTCTGCCCTCCAACAGGTAAGCAAACTGTGGGCTATCAGTTCAATGGAACATTGCTCAGCAGTAAAGAGGAATAAAGTGATACAAATACATCTAAAAGCATTATGCAAAGTGAAAGCCAGACACAAAGGCTATATATTTTATGATTTCATTTGTAAGAAATTATGAAAAAGAATTTCTGTAGGGACAGAATACACATCAGTGGTTGCCAGGTGCCAGCTGGGTGGGGGTGGGAAATTGATAACTAAGAGGCTTGGGGGGATTTTGTGGGGCCGTAGAACTGTTCTAGATCTTGACTGTGGCTGGTGGTTGTTCTTATGGGTTGAGTTCATTCTTGTTGGCCTTTGTCCCCAGTAGAACAAAGAGCTGAAAGGCAGGGACACAGCAGCAGACCAGAAGGATGGTAGATAAAGGCACTGAACCTTTAGGGGAGGATCTGTTTATCACCACCTAGCTGGGAGGCACTTTCTTTGATTGACAAGGAGACCATTTGATTGACAGCTCTAGTTCTACACCCATTCCTCTTGGTGTGGTCTTTTCTCAGACCCCGGGTGGGGGTGGGGAGATAATGCAAAATCACAACTTTAATGAGATTATGAAGTGTAGTTTGGGTGGTTCTGTTTGGTTCGATTGCACCTGAATTGGGGCCTGGTTGGGACTGGTTTGGTCTGGTCCCGATAGGCAAGAAGTTATCTCCCAGAAAGGCCTTTGTTGTCTTCACAAGGGACCCCCTACCTGGGCAGAGTTCGGGCAGGTTTTTTTTCCATGCACCTTATCTTCCCCTTACCCTGCTGCTCAGGTCTATCTTTCTCCCTAACAATCCTCCTCAAGCAGGTGGGACCCAATTCTGTGGGCACTGGGGCGATGACCACTCTAGCCGCTTCCTGCTGAAGGAGGGGTGGTGCACATGAACTGGGTCCCAATGCTTGCTGTCAGTTGCGGTTTGGGGTTTATGACTGGCTGGTTGAGGCCTGTGGGGCCCAGGATCTGGACATTATGCCCAGATTAAGGTTCTAGTGGATCTAGAGGTTCCATACAGATGGTGGGTAAGGAGGTCTGAACTGGCTGGTAGAATCTTGAATCATTTGCAGATGGTCGAGTCTGAAGCCGGGAAGAGAGAAATCAAATAAAGAGGTGAAGTAATGGGGGTCCAGCAGCAGGGGCTACAACAAATAAAAACGGAAATGCCAAGGGTGAAGGAGAGACGTTAGGCTCCAGCTTGTGGCCTCCTTGTCCAACCTTTGAATCTTATCCGTGGAGTCTAGGACCCTCTGGATGTCTCCTTGTGCTTGGCCTGATGGTGTAGAAACATCATTCTTCCCTTAGATATAGGAAGGTTCCTTTCCCACTCGCAGTGAAGAGGTCTAATGCTCTGCAGTTTGAAGAGCCACCAGCAACTGTGTCTAGATGGTTCCAAAGCCCTGTCCTGGCAGCAGCTGTTTGGTGGACATTCTATTTCCTGGAATAATTGGGATTGAATCCCTAGGGAGGAGCCTCCAGTGGCTGCCCCTGCAGTTCCCAGGAGAGCTGCGAGCCCCACTGCTGGGGGGAGAAGGGATATCACCAGGGAAGGATATATTGGCAAGAGCTAAGGGTGTGTCTGTTACTGTAAAACCCAAATAGCAGTATCTAGTCAGACTCTTGAACTACTTTTTGGAGTTTCCTCTTAATGTCCGGTGCTGACTGGGTCAGAAATCTATCTTTCAGGATGACCCTGCGCTCCTATGAGTCCAAGTCTAGCTTGGTATGTTTACTGAACACCTCTTCAAGCCTTTCTAGAAAAGCAGCGGGTTCTCAGTGGGCTCCTGGGTCACAGCAGAGACTTTGTACAGCTGACGACCTGTCTGCCAGCCTTAAGCCCAGCCTTTATGCAAATCAAATAATGGTCCTGAAACCAGCGTTGGTCAGATTACAGTCCCATCTGGGATCCTTGGAGGGACAGTATATAACCATCAGGATGGTCAGTGTAGCTTCCGGGGTCTTTTTTTTTATTACAATTTTTTTATTAAGGTATTACTGATATACACTCTTACGAAGGTTTCACATGAAAAACAATGTGGTTACTCCGGGTCTGTTTTATTAAGTTCGGTGAGAGAGAAGGACTTATGGACAAGTGGGGAGGGGGGGGGGCAATTCCCCTGCTGCCTCCACAAGGGGGCAGACCCTCTGTGGACGTAATAGTTGCTGTCCCATGGTGGGGCGGCCCTCCAGAGCAGGGGAACATCTGGGGGCACAGGGAGACCTGGAATATGGGAAGATTTGGGAGTAGCAGGGTATTTGGGTGGGGTTGACGGCCCCAGGGGGTTGCAGTCTGATGAAGGCCAGGGTAAGGGGGCAAAGTGGGACAGAGTAGAGGTTTCTCAGAGGGCACTGGCTTGTTTGGATCCCTGCCCTCTGTAGAAAGCTTAGGTTCTGGGGAGTCTCAGGGGAGGCCTGCAGGGAGTAGAGCCAGTGTTGTTAGTTTGCATTTATGGAACAGATCTCCATTCTCCAAGAGAAAGGCCTGGACATAGGGGACCTCTGGCTATTTACCATGCCATTTGCAGACTAGGTGTACTTGCAGGATGGTATTGTAATTTAGGTTCCCTTCTGGGGGTCAAGTTTCCCACTGGGGAGTTTGTATTGGGATCAGGCTGTCATGCATAAATTTGAGCCTTGATCTCCTCAGGGTCTCGGGGGTCAAAACATTCCCAGTATTGAGGATGCAACCCGAGGGGCTATCGCAGGGAGTCGAGTGTTGGTTCCCCATCTAGAATGAATGTGAAGAAGGACTACTGAGTAAGAAAGCCCAGCATCCTGAGGTTGTCTGTCACTCAGTGGCCTAGTTTTCATCTGCTCTGGATGGATGTCCCCAGGCATTGTGTTTGTGACAGCTGAAATGGTACCTTTTCACTGCCATCTGTTCCCATGTATCTAGATTAGGGCAACTCACTAGATTAGGGCAAGGCTCAGGATCAAAGATGGAGATTCCAAGTGGTGCCTCTTGGACATCCCCAGGGTGGAGGGTCATGTAAAGAGTCTGGCGAACCCTAGTCTTTGAAATCTGGAGGGACAGCACCCCCAAGGGGTAACACTCCTGGCTCCAGGATTCCCTAGGAACCTCACACATTAAGCTGAAGCATTGCACTGAGTGGGTGGCCCCTGTGATTGTTTGCCCTTATCAGAAGGGGCAGGGGTGGAGCCACCGCCAATCATATGCACAGGAAATGGGAGAATAGGATTCTAGGGGAGTGATCTTCAAGGTAACTTTGGTCTTCACACCTGCTGGGTCTCTATTGTGATCAAGGTTTTGTCAGCAGCTACAGGTGCCAGGGTAAAGGAAGAAGAGGGAGGCAGCTCTCAACTGAGCCCCCAGAGTCAGCAGAACACAAAGAAGGAGGGCTCTGGCCAGGCAAGCCTCCTGGAGATCTGAGAGCCTAGTCAGGGGTCAGTACGGAGAGGCCTGAGTCAAGGTCCGGAACCGAGAGAGAGAGCATCAAACTAGTTAGGAAAGACGGTCTCCGGCTGCCTTGGGTTAAGGCAGCTGTGAGAAAAAACCTGCCTTGCTGAGGAAGAGGTTTTTGGCCCTAGACTTTGTGGCTCCCACAGACGCCTCAGGTAGAAGCAGAGGGCTCGCGATGGGAGGGCGCAGTCAAGTCAGACCTGAAAATCCCATCGCAGAGCAAACGTCTCAGTTCTCTCTAAATGGAAAACAGAGCAAACAGAGCAGGAGCGGGCGCGCCCATCTAAGCGCACAAGGAGCAAAGGGTCTTAGGATCAAGGCGGGTGAGAAGGCTCTTAGCTCCCGGGGGGCGCCCTTGGTGAAGGGGAGAAACCGCGGGCTGCTCCGGGCGACCTTCCCGAGGACGCAGTCATTACCCGCCTCCCGCAGAGGGGTTCCCACAAGCCTCGCACCCGTGGGCACCGCCTCCGGCCGGTCTTGCGGACCTCTTACGGGCTGAGGGCATCATGAGATGGGGTCTCTGTGGGGTCGTCCCAATTAGCTGACCGATAGGTGACCCAAAAGTGAGGAGGGGAGGAAAAGAAATGCAGCGAGTAAGAGAAATCTGAGAACACAGAAAAGGAAGGGAGGGATTCCCAGAGAACAGGTAGGTGGTGAATGCCTCCGGCCAGGGCGGCGAGACACACGCGGTTCGCCGGGAGCCGCTATCCCGAGACCCGGCGCCAAATCTGTTGGGAATTGACTTCGTACTCCCCGGCCCTTGTCCCCGCAGCAACAGAGAATTGAAAGGCAGAGACACAACAGCGAAGCAGAGGGGAACTTCTAGACAGCGCCAGACTAAAGGTAGACAAAGGCAAGGAACTTTGGGGGGAGGGCTTATCACCACTTAGCTTGGAGGCACTTCCTTTGATTGACAGGGTGAGGTTATTTGATTGACAGCGCCAGTCTTCCACCCACTCCTCTGTGCCCGCTTCTCTTCCCAGACTGCACACAGAAAAGTCCGTGGCAGGTGGGCGGAGCAAAACCAGAATTTTATTTTAATGAGACTATTAGAAGGTGTGGTTTGGGAGGTTCTTAGTTTTGTTCGTTGGCGCCTGCTTACGAGACTTAATGTCTCTCCTCAGAGATAAACATCTTGGGACAACTAAACAAGTCTGCACTCCCTACCCCTTTGTCATTCCTGAAAAAAATCATTAAAAGGGAGAACCCCCAACCTTTTAGCACACACCTCTCTGAGGTCACCCATACTTTCTGTGTGTAGCCTTAAATAAAATTTAGACCTTCCAGCACCTCTTCTCTGAGGTAGCCCACACTCCCCTTTCTCTAAGTGCACCTTTTTGCCTTAAATAAACTTCTCACTGCTCAACTTCTAACGTTTTGTCTCTGTACTTTAACAGTGGTGTCTTTGTTACTTTGCTTTTTCATTCCAGTCCTCGGGATTTAAACTCAAATCTTCGCTCTCTCTGTCCTATTTCAGATAAGTAGGGAGGGGCTGCTGAGAGCTCAGATCTTGGCTTGTAAACTACCGTCGCCTGGGTGACCCAGATGGAACTGCAGCCTACAGTCCTGCTCTCTGGTAGCCTACCTGCAGGTCTCCTTTCTTTGCCCCCTAGGAAGTTCACAGAACCCTTGCAAGCGCTCTGCAGCTCCCCTAAAGCCTGGGCTGGTAGGGGCTCAGTTCCCACGCTGTGCAGGTCTAAGCGGACACTGGACACCAGGTGACGCTGGCTTAAGGAGTTAGCGGGGGATGTGCCCCATGCTGAGTAGCTGTTCAATGAACTTCCTTCATCATTCTGTTCTGCAACTCCCTGACACCCTTGCTTTAATGAATTCCTTCCTCACCTTGTACTCTGACTTCCCTGCGTCTCTGAACCGACTTCCTCCCAACAGAACCTGACATTTATTTGGAGCACAGAGGCATTTCTCACGCATCCTTTCATTTAATCCTCATGGTGCTCCAGTGGCATAAATTTTATGGTTCCCGCTGTACAGATAAGGCAGTTCAAGCCCAGAGAGGTTAAATGACCTGTAGGAGGCACATAGCCAGAGTGGAAGAGACAGAAAAGGGAGCCACGGGGTCAGACTGCAGAACTCGTGCTGAACTACCTGCCACAATATGTTAGTGGCTCAAGTCCCAAGTTAACCCCCAGGGAGGGAAGACACCAAACAACAGCTCCCCAAACGCAGATGATCCTCAACGCTGGCATTACTCTGGAACTGTAATGCTTGCAACGCGCCCGGAAGGCCTACAGGTGGCGCCATGAGACCGCCCGCTACCCTGTTTTGCAAATTGGCCTGCATTTCCTAGCTTGCAACAGGGACCTACCCGGAAGCAGTGCTGCGATCGGGGGTGAGTGTTCTCTTTCCTGCCAGTCTCTTATAACGTTGTTACAGGATCGGAGCTTCGCTAGTGCCATCATAGATTTTAATGAGAATACTCGCTGTCTCGACCCCATGCACGTTCGTGTTTTCCATCAGAATTTGGCGTGTGTGTATAACCACGTTTAACTGGTTTACATTTAAATTCTGAATCCTATCCATTTCAGGATCACTATACTTATTTTAATACAAGCATCCCACGCTGTGCAGGTCTAAGCGGACACTGGACACCAGGTGACGCTGGCTTAAGGAGTTAGCGGGGGATGTGCCCCATGCTGAGTAGCTGTTCAATGAACTTCCTTCATCATTCTGTTCTGCAACTCCCTGACACCCTTGCTTTAATGAATTCCTTCCTCACCTTGTACTCTGACTTCCCTGCGTCTCTGAACCGACTTCCTCCCAACAGAACCTGACATTTATTTGGAGCACAGAGGCATTTCTCACGCATCCTTTCATTTAATCCTCATGGTGCTCCAGTGGCATAAATTTTATGGTTCCCGCTGTACAGATAAGGCAGTTCAAGCCCAGAGAGGTTAAATGACCTGTAGGAGGCACATAGCCAGAGTGGAAGAGACAGAAAAGGGAGCCACGGGGTCAGACTGCAGAACTCGTGCTGAACTACCTGCCACAATATGTTAGTGGCTCAAGTCCCAAGTTAACCCCCAGGGAGGGAAGACACCAAACAACAGCTCCCCAAACGCAGATGATCCTCAACGCTGGCATTACTCTGGAACTGTAATGCTTGCAACGCGCCCGGAAGGCCTACAGGTGGCGCCATGAGACCGCCCGCTACCCTGTTTTGCAAATTGGCCTGCATTTCCTAGCTTGCAACAGGGACCTACCCGGAAGCAGTGCTGCGATCGGGGGTGAGTGTTCTCTTTCCTGCCAGTCTCTTATAACGTTGTTACAGGATCGGAGCTTCGCTAGTGCCATCATAGATTTTAATGAGAATACTCGCTGTCTCGACCCCATGCACGTTCGTGTTTTCCATCAGAATTTGGCGTGTGTGTATAACCACGTTTAACTGGTTTACATTTAAATTCTGAATCCTATCCATTTCAGGATCACTATACTTATTTTAATACAAGCATAGGAAGGCTGGTTATAGGTGAAGTGGATAGAGCCACTGCTTTTATGAGTGACTTCGGGCAAATCCTTCCCCTTCTCCCGGTATCAGTTTTCCTACCAGTAAAATGACGGTTTGGATTGTACTTTCCAATTTTTTCGGTGGCATGTGCATTCCTGGGAAGGGAAGGGCGGGTCTCTTAAAAAATTCAGGGGTTTGCTGGTGCAGGGCAAGTATTTGGGTTTTTGCAAGCTAGCCAGCCGGTTCTGGTGCATAGCCAGGCTCCCCCCACCCCACCCCTGAACTCCCACCCCACCCGGCCCCCCAGATCATCCCAAGGAACCCTTCCATTTTCTTTTCCTCTACTTCCTTTCTAGGACATGGTGTTAAACTTTAAAATAAACTTAAAAACACTGAGGAGGAATACTGCTGTGGGACCTTTCTGCACCAAGCAAGTTTTTGCATCTGGGACAGAGCCTGTGCAAGCCCTCTCGACCCAGTAATTGGCAGCCAGGTCTTTGCTTTGTGGAGACAAGATGGACAGATTCCTGGTGAAGGGAGCTTGCGGGGGCCTTTGGAGAATGAAAGAGCAGGAGAATTCTGGAGAAGGCCCTGCAGAGTTGGGAGGAGATGAGGAAAGCAGCAGGAAACGGCCCAGGAGAGAAACCCCAGGGACTGGGAATGGAACTGACTTAGCAGGCCCCAGCTGGCGGCGCATTCGAGCTGAGGGTCTGGACTGCGATTACACAGTCCTGTTTGGCAAAGCTGAAGCAGACAGGATTTTCCAAGAGTTAGAGCAAGAAGTGGAATATTTTACAGGTAAGCCTAGGATGGAGGGGTGTGGGTTGAAGGCTTGGTTGACAAAACTAGTGGTCTGTGTTTTGCAGAAATCTGAAATCAGGAGCCATTAATTATTGATGAGTCCATTAACTCAGTCAACACTTATTCTCTGGGCATCTCTGGGCCAAGCATCTTGATAGACACTTGGGATACAAATTTGGGAAAAAACAGGATTGCTGTGCTTGGCCTGCCAGGCAGCTGGCGGGTGAGAGTGAATTGCTACCTGACTACTGATTGCATCATCTGGGAAGATTAGAAAACTACTAGGTTCTACCCAAGGCCAGTTGAATCAGAATAGCTAGGGATACAGCCTGGGCCGTCAGTGTTTGAGGAAAGCTCCCAGGGGATTCTAGTGTGCAGCCTGGGCTGGGAAGCCCTGGTCCAGCAGGAGAGATGGCAGATAGCCAGGTAGTTCCTGTGCAGAGGGGTTCTCAGCGTCTCCTGGAGGACTTGCTCCTTTTCGATCCTGAATACTGAGGAAGCAGGTGTGGAGAACTCACCTGCCTGGTTTTCTGAGCTGCCGTGTTTCATCTGCACAGGTGCACTGGCCAGGGTCCAGGTGTTTGGGAAGTGGCACAGTGTGCCCAGGAAACAGGCGACATATGGCGACGCTGGGCTGACCTACACGTTCTCAGGCCTTACTCTGTCTCCAAAGCCCTGGGTCCCAGTTCTAGAGCACGTCCGGGACTGCGTTTCTTTGGTGACTGGAAAGACCTTCAACTTTGTGCTTGTCAACAGGTGACCGTTTTGTTTTGTTTTGTATTTTTGGCCACTGGACTGAATTTAATAACTCTTACCTCTTGTAGGAGGAAGAGGTTAGGGTTCCACCATATTTTACCCATTTGTACAACAAAGAGTTCTTCGGTGTGCCAGGGATGTAATATACATGAGCATTCACTCTTGGAGCTCATGTGCATGGGGGGTGAGGGCTGATTGACCGATGAGCAGTTGAACAAGACAATTTCAGATGTAGACGAGCATCTTGAAGGAAATTAAACAGGCTGAGCTGACTAAGAATGGCTGGAAGGGAGGGGTCTGGGTTTCTCAACAACAGCACTATTGATGGCTTCAGCCAGATAATTCTGGCATGGTGGGATGTGAAGCATATCTCTGCCTGGCCTCCCCACTCTAAAAGCCAGTAGCACCCCCTCCCCCCGTCACAGCAATCAGAATGTCTCCAGATATTGCCTGCTTTTCTTGGGGGGTCAGATCACCCTGGTTAACAACTCTGGGTTTAGGGGAAGGTGGTTAGAGGAGAAGCCCATAGCTATGGAGAAAGAGCTCGGGCCACACAGACATGGGGAGGAAGAGCAGAGGGGGCATGGACTATCTATGGAGCAGAAACCCCGATATTGCCAGAAAGCAATGAATGAGAGAGAAGGGTATGGCATGAGCTCAGACCAGAACCTGCAGGAAATATGGATTTTATTCTAAATGGAGGGAGAAACCATTTTATATGATATAAGTTTAATATATGAACCAGAACTAGAAAATGTGTTTTTGGCTTGTATGGGTGTTAGGTTTTCAAGGATCAAATAGGACTAGATAACAAAGTGAGAATGGTTTGGTTCAGGCTTAGCTCATGTGTAGAACTGGAAAAGGGCCTCTAGCAGGGACACTCACAGCACCTTCCAGACTGTAAGAAAATGACGATTCTGCAGTGTTGGTGCATTTCAGCAGAGGGCTGTTTTCTAAACCATGCTGTTCTCACTGCAGGTACAAAGATGGCTGTGACCACATTGGTGAGCATCGTGATGATGAAAGAGAACTGGCTCCGGGCAGCCCCATTGCCTCTGTCTCCTTCGGGGCCTGCAGAGATTTCTTCTTCCGGCATAAGGATTCTCGAGGGGGAAACCCCTCCAGGAGGGTGGAGGTGGTCAGGCTTCAGCTGGCCCACGGAAGTTTACTTATGATGAACCCCCCGACCAACACTCACTGGTACCACAGTCTCCCTGTCCGAAAGAAGATTCTGGCTCCGCGGGTCAATCTGACGTTCCGTAAAATTCTGCCTACTAAGAAGTAAAAACATGTTTCACATTGTGTATTTCTCTCCTTCCCTCTCTACTCCCAACAGGGAGCTGGGCTTCCTTTTACCAACAGGGAACAGAGAAAAGGTTTAACCCAAGAATAGAGCTTATAACGTAACAATGCAGAATTCAGAAAGAGAACGTTTGTATCCAATTAGTAAATTATGAAAGAAAACCAGTTGCTTTTTTGCTAACAAAGAGATCCTTTTATTGCTATAATACACAGCAGATACAAAAGGTACCTTTAGCAAATATATAAATCAGCAGTTCCTATGGTATAAACTACTAATTTAACTTAGGTCTTTGCTAAAAGAAGCTACCTTGTAAATAACTTAAAAGTAGAAATAAGATTATTTGGCTGCTACTTGATGTCTAATAACTTACGAAATGAAGTCAGCTTTAAGTCAGGCCAAGAGACTTTGCACATATTATCATTCACATTTACAACCTTGGCTCAAACCCTGGCCTCTGACCAGAGAAGTTCAAAGGATTACCCCTTTCCTGGCAGCCACCTCTCTTCAGTGGCAGATTTCAAAGAGTAAAGCAATGCAGAATAGCAGTAACTCAAAGCTACAGCTTGGCAATGCAGTTTAAGGGCACACAACTGGGCATTTGTTCCACCAGACTCGGATCAGACAGGTACGCTGACTTCAGCTTCAAAGCCAGGGTCTGCAGGGGAATCGGGAAGGGACGTCAGCAGCGAACATTCAAATGCTTCAAGCTGCAACCTTCTTTGATGTCTGTGGTCTGGACAACCTTCATAGTATATTCTATAGGTAGAGTTTTGAGTCCCCACGATGCATGCTGGGCCCAGCAGAATGGTGATCACCTGGGCCTCTTGGGCTTTTTTTAGCTGACCCCAAGGCATTGTCTCGAGGTGTCCGCCAGCTCGCCCCAACAGAGGAAGCACGGTTCTTCGCCTCACCTCAGGTGACCTTTTGGATAGGTCTATTCCTTTCTCTCTGAAGAGACAGTTTGAATTTGTTTGTTTTTTTGATTTAAAAAAGCCTAGCTAAAAGCATAGATACTACCGTGTCATCACAATGCCTTCGGCCCTGGCCTGCACTTAGGAGACTTATTTGGAAAGGGAAGACAATGCTCACCCTAGTCTTTTTGTATTAGTCTCCTGGAAATGAACAGATGTTCCAAGGTGGATCTATAAGAAAATGATGCTAAGTATCAGCTGTAGTAATATGTTTTAAATAAGACTGAAAACTTTCTTCTATTTTGTGGAAATGGCTGAACTTTGGTGGTTATGAAATCTAACTCTTCACTCTACAAATGAGGAGAGCCAAGTCCGGAGAGGCTGCAGACCCAGTGTCAGCACCCTTCCTTCCCAGTCCAGCTCTCAAACCAAGGCAGGGGCTGTCTGTGTACACAGCCTGTGGCTTCACCTGTAAACCTGAGGAGCTCTCCATGGGCAATAAGTAAAGAGGTGAGAAAAACCACCCAGTGGACTCTGGGGGGGAAAGGGCTTCCTACAGAGCAATTTTAGGTGTTGGCGATACTGCTCGATTCTGACTGTTTGCACAGTTTTATAATACATAATCACGTCTCAGCCCAGTAGGTAAAAGACAAAGCAGCAAGTCAGGGATCGCTCAGAATTGACAAAGTAGTGAAAGGATGTCCCCAAGGAGCAGATCTGGCAGATGAGCTTTTACTGCATACAAAGAATTGAAAGATTAGAAAAAGACATACAAAAGGGAGGGCAGGTATTCTTTAGGCATCTATTAGCCACCCTCTGCCAGCCAGTGAGTACCTTGGGGAGGAGTGGAGTGTTTCAAAAATTGCTTATATGACTCTTAGACACTGTATTTTCCAGAATGGACATGCTACAAAAGCAATTGAAAGTGAAAGGCACTTTTTCTTCTCAATTGTTGCCTTTATTTTACTAACTCTTGTCAACAATTTTTACGGACCTACTTATTAAAAATAAGAGATCTATGCTGAAACATCAGAGGATTAGATAAAGTTAACTCCCTTTTGAGGACACCTAACATATTAGAATATAAAAAAGGTGGCTTCCAGAGTCTGATTTATTTTAATTACCTGTATCAGGTGAGTAAAAAGACACTCTGGACACAATGGACGCCTTCCCAACATGATGGAGACACTTTACAGTGCACACCAGCCCAGCTGCTCAGGGAGCCTCACTTGGTTTGAACTGGGACCATGGGCTCCCGGATGCAGCCTGCTCCTAGGACACACCAGGAGGCTGAAGGGCTCTAGTGGGGCTGCTTGCACACACACACATACACGTCTGGTTTTGCCTTTTTCCTGGCCAGTTTGGACACATCAGCTCTAGCTTTGGGGCTGGGGCAGAGTCATTCTTCAGACTTGTACTCCTGACTCTGGTGCTGTGTCTTGGACAGAACACGTTCGTAGAAGAGTAGGTAAGCACTGGAGGACAGGACCTCCTGCAGGCTAGCCTTGCGGACAGTGTCATCAGAAACCCATAGCCACTGGTTGCTGGTTGAGAGAGGGTTCTTGGCCGAAGGTGGAGACCGTCGGTAAGTCACGAAATGTCCAGAGTGCATGTCTCCATGGTGGACGACAACTGCCATCAGCCGGAAGAGATATGTGGAGGAGCTGAGCAGTAGGAACAAATGCCAGTGGTTTACAAACAAAACAGAAGGTTTATAAGCAAAATGAGAAATCAAAGATTCCTAGTTGTTCAACAATAGGGGATTGATGCAGTGGTACATCCAGACAACTGAACACTATTCAACCATTAAAATACTTGATCAATAGTTGCTGGCATGGTAAGATGTCCACTCGGTGAGTATACGAACATTATATAGTATACAGACACCCACACAACTTCACAGTGTTGAAACCCTTAAAGATTTAACTAGTCATCTCTAGGTGATTTTCCCAAGACATTTAAAATTTTCTCCTTCATGCTTCATTTATATATAGGTTCATACATATCTACACGCATACACATAACATAAGCATATTTAAATTTTATGAGCTTTTATAATTCTTATTTTTAAAGTGGCTTACACTTTGGACAAAAATGGGAACGTGTGATAGTAAAGTTCCACCTTAAAAGGGAAGAAAACAATTTCTGCAATGTCGCTTATTTTTGTGAAAAGCTGATTTTGGAAATCAAGAGCAACTGCAGCCTGCGATGAAGAATGTGCTTCCCAAGAGCAGCTCACCTGTAGTCGGGAACAACTGGGAGGGGGAAGGGCAGCGGGGCTGGCAGCGTAGGCAGCAAAGATGGGGAGCAGGCGCCATTCATAAAAATTTGGGTTTTGGGGCCCCCTGGGTGACTCAGAACTGCAAGAGAAAAGAGGCTGAGGCAGTTAAAATTAGCAGTGGCTTTGGGGAAACAGAACGTGGCTTTGATTGCCTTGAAATTTAACTCCCTGATGATGCTACAGAACAAAACCAAGTATTTCACTTTGGTTACATTAATTCATAAAATTTCCTGTCTTTGTGCCCCTGTTTTAATCCCAAATAGGAAAAGTATATCTAGCTCCTGGCCTACTGCTCACTTTGTGGATCTTTGAGATTCTTGCCCTTGTTTGCTAAAGACAAGTCAGAGTTAAGCAGTAGTTAATTTACTGGCATTGTGACCTAACCCAAGGCTTCTCACCCGTAACACTGTTGCCATTTGGGGCTGGATAACTGTGATGGGGCCACCCTGGGCACCCTAGGATGTTTAACAGCTTCCCTGGCCTCCACCTACTAGATGCCCGTCAAACCCCTTTCCCACTTGTGACTACCAAAAGGGTCACCAGCCATTGTCTGATGTCCCCTGGGGGGCAAATCTCCCCACTGAGAACCACTGACCTGAACATCCCCTCTTCTTTAATTATCGGCTTCTAAGGAGCATCAGCATATACTGGAGTTAATGTCTATGAATGTAGATAAAATAATTAAGGAGATATTCACAGATCTTTTCCTTTCAAGTGTTGTATGTGGGGAACTTTAAACACCAGGCAGGTCACTGCTGGCCTCTTCAACCGTGGCTGCTGTGCTGTGAGCATGAGTAGGTCGGTGGCCACCCAGGAGAGGGCAGCTAGGCAACAAGGGCCTAGATTTAAAGCGAGGCCAAAGACTCAGCCCGTTTCCCTCCCCAGCTGCCCCTGACATTAATCTATGGATCGACATTAATATGGATCTGTTGGGAAGGATGTCCTGCCAGGCCACACAACTGTGGAGGCAAAAGAGAATAAAAGTAGCGAGGGATGCTAAGTCAGGAAGGCGCAGGGTGTGGGGCAGGCAGCCCCGACTCAGGGGAGCACCACGCAGGTGTGAGCCGAGGCTCAGAGCACTGAAAATCAGTGGGTTTTCCTCATTTCTAACTCTAAAGAACTCAACGAATTACAGAAAATACCTTTAAAACACTGCCCCAACACCACCTTCTAGGGCCTCTTCTCCCAGAGGACTGATGTAGCCCTAGGGCCAGTCGCATCCCCTCCAGGAGCCTCAATCTTAGCCAGACTGAGGATGATAGGAGCAACCCTGCTCCGTGGGGACCCTTCCTTATGACTAGTTTCCAATGAGGACAGTAACGGAATAGGTAAGTAAGTCATTCAGGAAAGAAGTATCAACCCAAATAAGATGTTCTTGGTCTTTGGCCAGAATGTTCCCTCCCGCAGCTCCTGTATAACTGAGATAACTGTACTGCGGGAAGAGAAGAAACTCACTGGAATGATGGGAGCCAATTACTGTTTAGTCAAAAGACCAGAAAGCAATCGTAAGCTTTTCTTCCTATATTAGTTTATCTGGGATCCAGTTTTTTAAATTACACATCTCATCACTACATAATTTTAATCTCTTTTAAGAAATCTTCCCTCTGCCGCTCCCAATCCTGCTGTTCTCAAGAATTTAAGCAACCACTGGACAAACCTCGCCCTCGTGGCATAAGGGCTTAGAAGGCATTGATGCCCAACTCCTTTTCTCTGGGCTGCAAATTTCAGCTGCATTAACTCCCCAGCACCCACCTGACCTGGGGGCCGCCAGCCCATCCTGCAGTTCCAGTGCAGGCCCCGTGGTCTTGTTCAGCTTAGGGCTGTGTTGACCGGGCTTATGTCCGAGGAGATGATACTTGTAGATGTCCATCATCAGGAACTCATTAAACTGCACGTGCTCGTGCCGCTTCAGGGGCGCGCCGTGGCTGGACCAGCTCAGCCGCTGGAGGTGAATGCATAAACACTGAGGGAGCTGCGCGTGGGAGAGACCAGACAGAGCCATGTGTCCACAGCGGGACACAGGGCATCCTTGAGAGCAAAGCCGACAAGGTGTGTGGTGTGTGCTCACCTTCCCTAGTTTTAGCTGTTTAACAAAAGTGGTCCTCTGGTGTTCCACCTTTTCCCCATTCAACGTCCCTTTGGCTTCAATCTGAAATAAAAGAAACATCTCTCGGCAGAAATTCTTGAAATAGGACGTGTATGAGGAGCTGCAGGTCAGGTTGGTATTACACCTGCATTCACCTGGCATCTGACTTGTACCTGCTGAAAGAATGCAGCTGCCCAGCTATTTGTGAGTTGTTTTCCCTGTTTAGTCATTTATGTAACTGCGAGTAGAGGCAAGAGGAATGAAGCACAACACTGAGGCTCTGACAATGGCATCTAGACTTTTATTCTGTGTCTTCAAAAAATTTGTTTTAAAAAATTCTGTTCCATACAGTTTTTCTTAATTCAGAGGATGAAATTCAATTGCTTAGGGGCACCAGGCAGGTAGTGTAGGTAAGGAAGGTGTGAGACAAGTGAGAATGGAGGGGGCTGTAGCAAATTGGAGAAGGCATGTCCCATCTCAAAGCAAAGTGTCCAGTGTTTTTCTTTAAACATTCTGTGGATGAAATAAAACTCATTTGGGAGAGCAATTTGGTCCATGGGCTGCCAAATTCCTAACCACGTTAGGCAGAAATGGCTATGGTTGAAAAGGTCCTCTGGGTATAATTAGAAGGGCACAGGACCAATGACGTGAGAGGCACCATATCAGGACACACAGGCCCATTGGGGAGATGCCATTTGGGGTTAAAGGCATACCTTTGTACAGTTGTCACATACAACATCCCGCACAGATTCTGATGAGATGAAGTGGTGAAGGCAGTGATCCAGGGTCAATGGATGACCCTACACATGAGAGGAAGAAAACTCATTATTACAACTCAAAGGAGAGCTATACTGAAACTATTAATAGATGGCAATGTGAATCCCACAGCTTTATCTTTGCTTATGTAGGTAATAAAGCTTCAAATACACAACTGGATGTTTCCTGAATGAATGTGGAGTTCAGAGTACACTTAGCACCCTAATACTTGCTACTACAGATAGATTCAAGGGTATGAGGACATAACACTGCAGAAAAGTATGGGCTTCTTAGATATCTTTGAATTTGAGTTTAATATGTGTGTGTGTTTCCATTTAAAAAAAAATCCCAAACTTCTGCAGCAAGAGGAAACTGCCCACCTTCTTCCCCCACAAACTGGGCCATGGTGCCATACATAAAAATTAAGACGGTTCAACCATGTGTCTGGGTAACACATAGTATTTGGTGACACAAAATGCCCCCAGCCCCTTTCAGATGTAAATGCCTCCAAAACAGACCCAAAATAAACCATGGATCAGTACATACCCATGTGGCAGCTGGAATACTTAGTGAAAGGCTATCAAAGGTATCAAATCGAACAGGACTCTGAAACAAATATTGCAGAAAATCCAGAAAGGATTTAGGTTCAATTCAAAGCTTTACAGATGGGGAGATATAAGCCTGTGAAACAGTTTAATATTTAGATGCCAACATAAAAATAATGAAATATAAGGTACTTACCTAGAAGTAAATTCTATTAAAAAACAACCTTATATACAAACATTAAGAGGTAATAATAATACTAAAAGATAGTTTGGAAAAACTCCAATATACCTGACCCAGCAATCTGTCAACTTTATCCTAAGGAAATAACCATGGACATAGCTACAGGGATGTTCATCATAGCATTATTTATAACAGCAAAATGTGAATAGGTGAAATTCTAGGGAATGAGTAAATAAATTATATCATGCCTACAGAATGGAACACTGTATCAAAAATAGTGTAGTAGAAGAATGCATGAGTATGTGGAAAGATGTGCATGTTGTATTATTCACTGCAAAAAAACAGATGATAGGATAAGAGTTCTTGCTTTAGGAGACTGAGAGCAGCTTGGCTAAACTAATTCTCCTTAAGATCACAACTATAAAATCTGGACCAAAACAAAATAATTTGAATGACTGGAGAGCTACCAAAATCAGGCAGAAATGGGAAAGGAGTCAACTCTTAGAGAAACAGGAACTCCGTGGGTGAGAGCTGTCCTGTGTGGCTTTCCGCCTGAGGGGAGTACCTCAGTGATCTATGCAGTTCAGTCTTACAGGATGGAGGTATCAGAAGACAAAGTTCAAGGCTACTGCAGAGGCTGGGGGAAATCCCAGAAACAGCAGAGTTCTAGAAAGGATCAGCCCGCAAACCGGTGTATAAATCCCTACCCAATATCACGGCTGACCCCTGGACCACACAGGGGCCTGGCAAAAAGCAGCAGCTTGAAACTGAAAAAACTGAGCAAAGATTTTGCTGCCCAATATAGGGAAGACACAATTTGGAGTTGAGGTCAGCCAAGTTAACTGCCCACCAGAACAGAATTCATTATTTTTTAGAGAAATGTAACAGAATCCAAAGTCTCTACTTCAATGTTAAATATGCAATAAAAAATTACTAGACATAAAATACAAAGACAGAAGATGTGACCATAGTAAAGGGAAAAATGAGATGACCTGGATGTTGCAATTAGCACAGGGACCTTAAGAAGAACTATTATAAACATGCTCAAGAACATAAAGGAAGATAGAGTTATTTAGTTCCAGTGGAGGACAAATGGAGAATTTTGGAAGAGAAGTCAAAATTATAAAGAACCAAAGGGAAATTACGCAACCAAGAGGCATAACAACTAAAACAAAAAATTCACTGCACAAGCAAACAGAGACTGCAGATGGAAAACAGTCAGTAAACTCAAGTATGTGCCAATGGAAATGATCTAATTCAAAGGACAAAGAGGAAAGAGGCTGAAGGAAAATGAACTGAGCCTCCAAAACCTAGGGATTAACATGGGACTGACAGTGAATGGGGCAAAACATTTTTTGAAAAAATAATAAAAGAAGTTACAAATTTGGTGACAAAACATAAGTGTACAGATTTAAGAAATTCAACAAACTCCAAGCAGATAACAAGAAACCATACCTATGCACAGCATGGTCAAACTGCTGGAACCCAAAAATGAAGAGAACATCTTGTAAGCAGCCAGAGAAACAAGTGACACTTCATTACAGAAACATATGGATGATGCTGACTTTGTATTAGAAAAAATGTCAGGCCAAAAGACAACAGAAAACAATGCCTGTAAAACGATTAATTTATAATCAACCAAACCAAAACAACAGCAACACTGTCAACCCAAAATTCTATAGATATAAAAAATGAAAGCAAAACAAAAACATTTTCATATAAATAAAATTCTAACTGAATTTTTGCCAACAGACCTGCAATAAACACTAAAGGAATCTTTTTACGCTAAAGGGAAAAAAACATCAAATGGACTTGGGCCTACTGAGGAATGAAGAACACCAAAAATGGCAAATATAAATTTTTTTTCCTTTTAATTTTTTTAAAAACACATAACCATTTAAAGCAAAAATTATGTTGGCATTGTGAGGTTTATAATGTATATAGATGTAAACGTATATGACAAAAATAGCACAAAGGATGAGGTAATAGAGCTACACTTTTATAAGTTTCCTGTACTTTACACAGTTTAATACTAACTCGAAACAGCCCATGGTAAGTTAAAACTCCATGTTGTAATCACACACACATACAAATGTAAAGAGGGATAGCTAAAAAGCCAACAGAGGAATTACAATGTGATACTAAAAACTATTCAATTAGCCCAAAAAAGGCAGAAAAGGAGGAACAGAGGAACAAAAAATAAATCAGAAAACAAGTGGTAATAGGCCTAAATCCATATAAGTACTTCCATTAAATGTAAATGGACTAACATGCCCACTGAAAGGCACAATGAAAAGCTGGATAAAACAGCAAGACCCAATTATATGCTGTCTACAAAAGCCACATTTAAATACAAAGACAAAGATAGGTAAAAAATAAGAGAACAGAAAGAGATCTACCATGGAAACCCTAGTTAGATGGAACTCATCAGACAAAACAGACATCAAGACAAGAAGTCTCCCAGAGACGAAGAGGGACATTTTATCAGGACAGTAACTCTTCATTATTAATACATGTGTATGTGCCTAATAGCAAAGCTTCAAAAGGAATTCAGCAAAAATATAGTTAAAGAAAGAAAAAGAAAAAGACAAATTTTAGCAAACATTTAAGGAAGAAACAATGCCAATATTAACCAAAGCCCTTCAGGAAATGGAGGCAAAGGGAATACTTCCCAGTGTATTTTATGAAGCAGTGGCATAAGGGCTTAGAAGGCATTGATGCCCAACTCCTTTTCTCTGGGCTGCAAATTTCAGCTGCATTAACTCCCCAGCACCCACCTGACCTGGGGGCCGCCAGCCCATCCTGCAGTTCCAGTGCAGGCCCCGTGGTCTTGTTCAGCTTAGGGCTGTGTTGACCGGGCTTATGTCCGAGGAGATGATACTTGTAGATGTCCATCATCAGGAACTCATTAAACTGCACGTGCTCGTGCCGCTTCAGGGGCGCGCCGTGGCTGGACCAGCTCAGCCGCTGGAGGTGAATGCATAAACACTGAGGGAGCTGCGCGTGGGAGAGACCAGACAGAGCCATGTGTCCACAGCGGGACACAGGGCATCCTTGAGAGCAAAGCCGACAAGGTGTGTGGTGTGTGCTCACCTTCCCTAGTTTTAGCTGTTTAACAAAAGTGGTCCTCTGGTGTTCCACCTTTTCCCCATTCAACGTCCCTTTGGCTTCAATCTGAAATAAAAGAAACATCTCTCGGCAGAAATTCTTGAAATAGGACGTGTATGAGGAGCTGCAGGTCAGGTTGGTATTACACCTGCATTCACCTGGCATCTGACTTGTACCTGCTGAAAGAATGCAGCTGCCCAGCTATTTGTGAGTTGTTTTCCCTGTTTAGTCATTTATGTAACTGCGAGTAGAGGCAAGAGGAATGAAGCACAACACTGAGGCTCTGACAATGGCATCTAGACTTTTATTCTGTGTCTTCAAAAAATTTGTTTTAAAAAATTCTGTTCCATACAGTTTTTCTTAATTCAGAGGATGAAATTCAATTGCTTAGGGGCACCAGGCAGGTAGTGTAGGTAAGGAAGGTGTGAGACAAGTGAGAATGGAGGGGGCTGTAGCAAATTGGAGAAGGCATGTCCCATCTCAAAGCAAAGTGTCCAGTGTTTTTCTTTAAACATTCTGTGGATGAAATAAAACTCATTTGGGAGAGCAATTTGGTCCATGGGCTGCCAAATTCCTAACCACGTTAGGCAGAAATGGCTATGGTTGAAAAGGTCCTCTGGGTATAATTAGAAGGGCACAGGACCAATGACGTGAGAGGCACCATATCAGGACACACAGGCCCATTGGGGAGATGCCATTTGGGGTTAAAGGCATACCTTTGTACAGTTGTCACATACAACATCCCGCACAGATTCTGATGAGATGAAGTGGTGAAGGCAGTGATCCAGGGTCAATGGATGACCCTACACATGAGAGGAAGAAAACTCATTATTACAACTCAAAGGAGAGCTATACTGAAACTATTAATAGATGGCAATGTGAATCCCACAGCTTTATCTTTGCTTATGTAGGTAATAAAGCTTCAAATACACAACTGGATGTTTCCTGAATGAATGTGGAGTTCAGAGTACACTTAGCACCCTAATACTTGCTACTACAGATAGATTCAAGGGTATGAGGACATAACACTGCAGAAAAGTATGGGCTTCTTAGATATCTTTGAATTTGAGTTTAATATGTGTGTGTGTTTCCATTTAAAAAAAAATCCCAAACTTCTGCAGCAAGAGGAAACTGCCCACCTTCTTCCCCCACAAACTGGGCCATGGTGCCATACATAAAAATTAAGACGGTTCAACCATGTGTCTGGGTAACACATAGTATTTGGTGACACAAAATGCCCCCAGCCCCTTTCAGATGTAAATGCCTCCAAAACAGACCCAAAATAAACCATGGATCAGTACATACCCATGTGGCAGCTGGAATACTTAGTGAAAGGCTATCAAAGGTATCAAATCGAACAGGACTCTGAAACAAATATTGCAGAAAATCCAGAAAGGATTTAGGTTCAATTCAAAGCTTTACAGATGGGGAGATATAAGCCTGTGAAACAGTTTAATATTTAGATGCCAACATAAAAATAATGAAATATAAGGTACTTACCTAGAAGTAAATTCTATTAAAAAACAACCTTATATACAAACATTAAGAGGTAATAATAATACTAAAAGATAGTTTGGAAAAACTCCAATATACCTGACCCAGCAATCTGTCAACTTTATCCTAAGGAAATAACCATGGACATAGCTACAGGGATGTTCATCATAGCATTATTTATAACAGCAAAATGTGAATAGGTGAAATTCTAGGGAATGAGTAAATAAATTATATCATGCCTACAGAATGGAACACTGTATCAAAAATAGTGTAGTAGAAGAATGCATGAGTATGTGGAAAGATGTGCATGTTGTATTATTCACTGCAAAAAAACAGATGATAGGATAAGAGTTCTTGCTTTAGGAGACTGAGAGCAGCTTGGCTAAACTAATTCTCCTTAAGATCACAACTATAAAATCTGGACCAAAACAAAATAATTTGAATGACTGGAGAGCTACCAAAATCAGGCAGAAATGGGAAAGGAGTCAACTCTTAGAGAAACAGGAACTCCGTGGGTGAGAGCTGTCCTGTGTGGCTTTCCGCCTGAGGGGAGTACCTCAGTGATCTATGCAGTTCAGTCTTACAGGATGGAGGTATCAGAAGACAAAGTTCAAGGCTACTGCAGAGGCTGGGGGAAATCCCAGAAACAGCAGAGTTCTAGAAAGGATCAGCCCGCAAACCGGTGTATAAATCCCTACCCAATATCACGGCTGACCCCTGGACCACACAGGGGCCTGGCAAAAAGCAGCAGCTTGAAACTGAAAAAACTGAGCAAAGATTTTGCTGCCCAATATAGGGAAGACACAATTTGGAGTTGAGGTCAGCCAAGTTAACTGCCCACCAGAACAGAATTCATTATTTTTTAGAGAAATGTAACAGAATCCAAAGTCTCTACTTCAATGTTAAATATGCAATAAAAAATTACTAGACATAAAATACAAAGACAGAAGATGTGACCATAGTAAAGGGAAAAATGAGATGACCTGGATGTTGCAATTAGCACAGGGACCTTAAGAAGAACTATTATAAACATGCTCAAGAACATAAAGGAAGATAGAGTTATTTAGTTCCAGTGGAGGACAAATGGAGAATTTTGGAAGAGAAGTCAAAATTATAAAGAACCAAAGGGAAATTACGCAACCAAGAGGCATAACAACTAAAACAAAAAATTCACTGCACAAGCAAACAGAGACTGCAGATGGAAAACAGTCAGTAAACTCAAGTATGTGCCAATGGAAATGATCTAATTCAAAGGACAAAGAGGAAAGAGGCTGAAGGAAAATGAACTGAGCCTCCAAAACCTAGGGATTAACATGGGACTGACAGTGAATGGGGCAAAACATTTTTTGAAAAAATAATAAAAGAAGTTACAAATTTGGTGACAAAACATAAGTGTACAGATTTAAGAAATTCAACAAACTCCAAGCAGATAACAAGAAACCATACCTATGCACAGCATGGTCAAACTGCTGGAACCCAAAAATGAAGAGAACATCTTGTAAGCAGCCAGAGAAACAAGTGACACTTCATTACAGAAACATATGGATGATGCTGACTTTGTATTAGAAAAAATGTCAGGCCAAAAGACAACAGAAAACAATGCCTGTAAAACGATTAATTTATAATCAACCAAACCAAAACAACAGCAACACTGTCAACCCAAAATTCTATAGATATAAAAAATGAAAGCAAAACAAAAACATTTTCATATAAATAAAATTCTAACTGAATTTTTGCCAACAGACCTGCAATAAACACTAAAGGAATCTTTTTACGCTAAAGGGAAAAAAACATCAAATGGACTTGGGCCTACTGAGGAATGAAGAACACCAAAAATGGCAAATATAAATTTTTTTTCCTTTTAATTTTTTTAAAAACACATAACCATTTAAAGCAAAAATTATGTTGGCATTGTGAGGTTTATAATGTATATAGATGTAAACGTATATGACAAAAATAGCACAAAGGATGAGGTAATAGAGCTACACTTTTATAAGTTTCCTGTACTTTACACAGTTTAATACTAACTCGAAACAGCCCATGGTAAGTTAAAACTCCATGTTGTAATCACACACACATACAAATGTAAAGAGGGATAGCTAAAAAGCCAACAGAGGAATTACAATGTGATACTAAAAACTATTCAATTAGCCCAAAAAAGGCAGAAAAGGAGGAACAGAGGAACAAAAAATAAATCAGAAAACAAGTGGTAATAGGCCTAAATCCATATAAGTACTTCCATTAAATGTAAATGGACTAACATGCCCACTGAAAGGCACAATGAAAAGCTGGATAAAACAGCAAGACCCAATTATATGCTGTCTACAAAAGCCACATTTAAATACAAAGACAAAGATAGGTAAAAAATAAGAGAACAGAAAGAGATCTACCATGGAAACCCTAGTTAGATGGAACTCATCAGACAAAACAGACATCAAGACAAGAAGTCTCCCAGAGACGAAGAGGGACATTTTATCAGGACAGTAACTCTTCATTATTAATACATGTGTATGTGCCTAATAGCAAAGCTTCAAAAGGAATTCAGCAAAAATATAGTTAAAGAAAGAAAAAGAAAAAGACAAATTTTAGCAAACATTTAAGGAAGAAACAATGCCAATATTAACCAAAGCCCTTCAGGAAATGGAGGCAAAGGGAATACTTCCCAGTGTATTTTATGAAGCTAGTATAATCCTTATAACAAAACCTGACAGAAACATTACAAGAAAACTCTAGAACAAATATTCCTCATAAACATAGATACTAGTATCCTTTGGAAAATATTAGCAAATCAAACCCACTTGTATATAAAAAGAATAATACATCGCAATAAAGTGGAGTTCCTCCCAGAAACACAAGGTTAGTGTAGCATTAGAAAAATCAGTCACTGAAATTCTCACTACATGTGGAAAAAGCATGACAAAATTCAAACACTATTCTTGATAAACACTCTCAGCAAACTAGGAATAGAAGTTTCTCAGTGTGATAAAAGGGGTATACTAAAACCCAAAGCAAATATCATACTTAATTATGACATATCAAATAGTTGCTTCTTTAGATTTGAAACAATTCAAGGATGTCTCCTATCACTGCTCCTATGCAACTTTGTACTGGAGGTTCTAGCCAGGGTATTAAGGCAAGAAAAATAAATAAAAGGCATAAAGATTGGAAAGAAAGAAGTAAAACTCTATTCACAGACAACATGATTGTTTACATACATGGAGAACTTTAAGGATTCTACAACAAAATTAGAACTAACAAAGGAATTTTTGTAAGCTCTCGAGGTACAAGGTCAATATACAAACAACTATATTTTTATATAACTAGTGGCAAACAAAAATTCCGCTTACAAGAGCACCAGAACACAAACACATTTCAAGGAAAAAATAAGAAAGATGAATGGGCAACTTCTAGATTAAAAGACATTTAAGACATATGAATTGTAATGTATGGACCTTATTTTTTTAAAAGAGAGTCGCTATCATCAGTCATCAGGGTAATGCCAGGTAAAAGCGCAACGAGACACCACATCACACACACTAGGATGGCTACGACTGAAACGTAAGCTAGTAAGTGTTGGTGAGGACATAGAAAAACTGGAAACCTCATTCACTGCTGGTGGGAATGCAGAATGGTACAGCCACTTTGGAAAACAGTCTGGCAGTTCCTCAGAATGTAAACACAGAGTTACTGGATAAGCCAGCAATTCTACTCCTAGGTATATACCCAAGAGAAATGAAAACATATGTTCACATAAAAACTTGTACATAAATGTTCATAGCAGCTTTACACATAATAACTAAAAAGCAGAAACAACCCAAATGTCCATCAACTGGTAAATGAATGGATAAACAAAATGTGGTATATCCATACAGTGGAATATGATTTGGTAATAAACAGGAATGAAGTATTGATACATGCTACAACACAGAAAGGAAACATGCTAAGGAAAAGAAGCCAGGCACAAAGGACCATACATTATATGATACCATTTATATGAAATGCCTGAAACAGGTGAATCTCTGGACATAGAAAGTAGATTGGTGGTTGCCTAGCACTGGAAGTAAGGGGGAAATGAGGAGCAACTGCTAACGGGCATACGTTTTTTTGGGGTGTGCTAACAATATTCTAAAATTGATTGAGGTAATAGTTGTGCAAGTCTCTATTTTGGGATTATGTTGAAAAGTTTTCAAATAAACAATTATTTTAAAACCTCAAAAACAAAAAGCCAAAACAACAGTCCTAGAATCTGTTGTGTCCATTGTCAGTATAGACCCAACCTTAGGACTCAGATTCTTGCCAATCCACAATAGGGTGCTGCTCAAGACACCATCTGAGGACCAAATGAATGTTAGCAGTGACTACAGGAAGGCATACGTCTGCTAAGTGTGCAGAGCCCAGACAATCACAAATGCCATATACCCGTGTTGGTCCACACTCGCTTGATCCTTCATGAATCTTAAAGGAAAAACTGCCAGAAAATATCAAGTATTGGTACCATACCTGGTGTTCACAGTGTTTGCAGACCATATTACTAGTAAGTCTTCCATGAAAAGGGTGCTGAGATTTCCAGTGATTGGATGTGGGATGAGGTGACCCTGGAACACAAAACATCTTTTGACATGCTACCTTAAAACCTATGGTACCAACTTCAAAATTCACCCTCCTTTTTAGTATGTGGTAGAAACCCCCTCTTTATTAAAAAATGTTCCTGAAAAAGAAATGGAAATTGCTTCCCTTATTGACTTCCATCAAAAAGCCCATTTCCTTCACAGGAGAATTTATACAGGTTTTTAAACGTGGTTTCCGTATTATGAGGACAGCCACATTTAAAAAAGGAATTTGTGTTAATAACGTCTTTTTACAAACATATACTTAAAATGTTTGAGATGTCAAAAGAAGGGTTCCATAAGTGAATATTCCATAAAGTGAGATAAACTTCTGAAATCATGAGAATAAGCAACTTCTGAAAAACTGGAGGTTGTTCTGGGTAAAAGAGGGGGTTAGTGGAATAAACAGTGTGATATGCTAGGCCCTGGAGTCAGGTGGCCCTGGGCTCAGTCCTGGTTTGCTTACTAGTTAGGAGCCCTGGGAAGTCACCTCATCTCTGTAAGCTTTGGTTTGCTGAAAATGGGAATAATTATTATCCCATTATCCCCAGTTATCATCAATTTCATAGTGCTATTATGAGGCTTAAATGAGAGAATGCAGCATCTGGCACACAGTATGGGCTCAAAAGCTCATGGTTCCTATTACTGCTAATGAACAAAGGAGTTAATACGTCTTTTTCTCTTTTTGAAGTCTTAAGAAAACAATGATCTCCTTCTAAGGACTGTGATAATTTTCAGTAACACTTGGTCAAAGTGGACATGCTGAGGACATGACAGTTTCAGCTTTGTAAATTCCTCACAAGGTCAATTCTAGAAGTAAAAAGAAAACCCTTGTTTGAAGTAGAAATAAGCCTATTTGGAGGAAACTGTATGGTGAGGGAACAATTCAAATGTTCACCAAGAGAATAACTGAAAGCTGCTCTAAAACACAAGCTCCATCTGGATTTAGCAAAGTTGCAGGATATAAAATTAATACACAGAAATCTGTTGCATGCCTATACACTAACGATGAACTAGCAGAAAGAGAAATCAAGAAAACAATGTCATTCACAATTGCATCAAAAAGAATAAAATACCTAGGAATAAACCTAAGAAGGAAGTGAAAGACCTATACCCTGAAAACTACAAGACACTCCTACGATAAATTCAAGAAGACATTGATAGTGGAAATTCATCCCATGCTCTTGGGTAGGAAGAATTAATATTGTCAAAATGGCCATCCTGCCTAAAGCAATCTATAGATTCAATGCAATCCCTACCAAAATACAGACAGCATCCTTCAACGAACTGGAACAAATAGTTCTAAAATTCATATGGAACCACAAAAGACCCTGAACAGCCAACACAAACCTGAAAAGGAAGAACAAAGCAGGGGGGATCCTGCTTTCCAACTTCAAGCTCTACTACAAAGCCACAGTAATCAAAACAATTTGGTACTGGCACAAGAACAGACCCATAGACCAGTGGAACACAATAGAAAGTCCAGATATTAACCCAAGCATATATGGTCAATTAATATATGGTAAAGGAGCCATGGATATACAATGGGGAAATAACAGCCTCTTCAACAGCTGGTGTTAGCAAAACTGGACAGCTACATGTAAGAGAATGAAACTGGATTACCGTCTAACTCCATACACAAAAGTAAACTTGAAATGGATCAAAGACCTGAATGTAAGTCATGAAACCATAAAACTCTTAGAAGAAAACATAGGCAAAACTCTCTTGAATAGAAACATGAACAACTTCTTCATGAACGTATCTCCACAGGCAAGGGAAACAAAAGCAAAAATGAACAAGTGGGACTATATCAAACTAAAAAGCTTCTGTACAGCAAAGGACACCATCAATAGAACAAAAAGGCATCCTACAGTGTGGGAGAATATATACATAAGTGATATATGTTGCATTCCTATACACTAACGATGAACTAGCAGAAAGAGAAATCAGGAAAATAATTCCATTCACAATTACATCAAAAAGAATAAAATACCTAGGAATAAACCTAACCAAGGAAGTGAAAGACCTATGCCCTAAAAGGGGTTGACATCCAAAATATACTAAGAGCTCATGCACCTTAACAAACAAAAAGCAAATAATCCAATTAAAAAATGGGCAGAGGATCTGAACAGACACTTCTCCAAAGAAGAAATTCAGATGGCCAACAGGCACATGAAAAGATGCTCCACATCGCTAATCATCAGAGAAATGCAAATTAAAACCACTTTGAAGTATCACCTCACACCAGTTAGGATGGCCACCATCCAAAAGACAACAACAAATGCTGAAGAGGATGCAGAGAAAGGGGAACCCTCCTACACTGCTGGTGGGAATGTAAACTAGTTCAACCATTGTGGAAAGCAGTATGGAGGTTACTCCAAAAACTAAAAATAGAAATACCATTTGACCCAGGAATTCCACTCCTAGGAATTTACTTTAAGCATGCAGGAGTCCAGTTTAAAAAAGACATATGCACCCCTATGTTTATCACAGCACTATTTACAATAGCCAAGGAATGGAAGCAACCTAAGTGTCCATCAGTAGATGAATAGATAAAGAAGATGTGGTACATATACACAATGGAATATTATTCAGCCACAAGAAGAAAATAAATCCTACCATTTGCAACAACATGGATGGAGCTAGAGGGTATTATGCTCAGTGAAATAAGTCAGGTGGAGAGAGACAATTACCAAATGGTTTCACTCACCTGTGGAGTATAAAAACAAGGCAAAAACTGAAGGGATAAAACAGCAGCAGAATCACAGAACCCAAGAAAGGACTAACAGTTACCAAAGGGAAAGGGACTGAGGAGGATGGGTGGGAAGGGAAAGATAAGGGGGAAAAGGGGCATTACAATGTGGGGGACGGGAGCATGGGAAAGACAGTATAGCAGAGAGAAGACAAGTAGTGACTCTATAGCATCTTACTATGCTGATGGACAGTGACTGTAATGCAGTATGTGGTGGGGACTTGGTGATGGGGGGAATCTAGCAACCATAATGTTGCTCATGTAACTGTATATTAATGATACCAAAATAAAAAGAAATTACTCATAATAAATAAATAGATAAATAATAAATAAAACACAAGTTCCTCAGCAAGGACACACAGTTCAAGCTGGGTTAGACATCACCAGAAAAAAAATTTTTCTTAAATAAGCACATTATTGTCACATCTAAAGCCTACCTCTTGTGCGGCAGGTTATTTGTTTGGGGGTTATTTCTGACTGCTGCTGTAGGGGAAGAAAAAGAACCAGACTGAGCACCCAGCTGCAATCCTCCCATCACTTTCCTCCCATCCCTAACTCTTACGAGTTTCTGTGCTGATTGCACCACTCAAAGGCAACTTCTCATAGAGGATTCTAGAAGGAGCCTTACTTATCCCCAACTCAGTGACTGGACCTATTCTTTCATCAAATGCAATTAACATACATTTCCTCTCTGAGTGTTTACCCCTTTCACTAGCTAACTCTCATCAACTCTCTTAACATTTATAATGTTCCAGGGAAATGAGGATTCATTCAGCATTCCTCTGGCTCCCTGTTCCCCTGTATTAAAAAGGGGAAAAATACATTCTTTCTTCTCAAAGCCAACATGATCTGCAGCGATGGATCATTTTAAAGAGCTCTGACATCGTTACCCAAAGCCAGCAAATGTAAAGTATGCAGTTTAAGCCCCTCCCTAGCCCCACACCCACTACTGATTTTTACTGAATCTTACTTTTGAGTTTAAAGTTGTACAAAGTATATACATGTGGCCCCTACATCTATTAAATACGTACAAACCACATTACATGTATTGAAAATATTAATGGTTTACCTCCAGGGAATGCACATCAAACAAATGTGTGACCCGGGGCTGCCGGTCCCGCTCATCTTCCAAAGATGAGGTAATAACATGGAATAACTCGTGAGCGTCCTGTCAAAGGGCAAAGCATTCTTCAGCAAGGCCGAGGAGTCCGGGCAGCCTCAGGACCACCCTCACGTGGACCACCGGGCAGACCCCCTACTGCCAATGGGGCAGAATGCACTTTCCCCCCTTCCAGCTCATTAAACTGGAACCGTCGCATCCTAGACATTTTCACAGTAAAGATCCCCCACAGAGAGGCCCAAGGGGAGAGAAGAAAAGGAAGACAGTGCCAACTGTCTTTGAGCATGTTTTGGCTTTATCGAGGTGGTCCAGACGTCCATTCTACCTGACATTTTTTTTTTAATTATGGCAAAAGACACACATTACATAAAATTTACCATTTCAACCATTTTTAAGTGTACAGTTCTGTGGCATTAAGCACGTTCACATCATTGTGCAGCCATCACCACCATTCATCTGCAGAATTTTCTCATCTTCCCAAACCGAAACTCTGTCCCCACTAAACTGTAACTCCCCAACCCATTCTCCCAGCCCCAGCCAGCCACCTTCTCCTTTCTGTGTCTACGGACTTGACTGCTCTAAGAGCCCCATACAGGTGGGAGTATACAGTATGTGTCCTCCTGTGACTGGCTCATTGCACTATGTGTAGGGTCTTCAAGGGCCATCCAGGCTGTAGCCAGTGTCAGAATGTCTTTCCTCTTTCAGGCTGAGTAACATTCCTTGTATGTGTAACATAAGTATATACCGGTGTGTGTATACATACACATGCACACACAGTTTATTTATCCATTCACCTGTTGATGGACACCTGGGTCGCTTCCGCCTTTTGGCTACTGTGGGTAATACTGCTGAGAATACGGGTATACAAGTATCTGTTTTGAGTTCCTGTTTTCAGTCCTTCCGGGGGTACACCCAGGAGGGGACTTGCTCCATTACATGGCAGGGACTGCCCTTTATAACCCAGCTCAGGTGTCCCTTTCCCCCAAAGCCGAAGCCTTGCCCTTCTGGAGGGACAGGTCTCTCCTCCCCGCACTCTGCAGGCACTGACTCTCACCAGCCTGGCTTCCTTCCGTTTGCAGTCTTCTCCAGGGTCGCCAGTGTGATCTTTAAAAGGCAAATGACTTACTCTTCTGCTTTCCACCTTCCAAGGCTCCCCTGCTAGAATAAAGCACCCCAAGTGGCTGACCCGGCCCAGCACTCTCTCCCTCACCAGCCCTGCCGGCCTCTTTTTGCTGCCTGACAGCACCAAGATGGTTCCCATCTCAGGACTGGGTCTCTCATGTGCTCTCGCCTGTGGAGCCTGGTGCAGACCTCTACGTGGCTGCCTCCTCCTCAGCCTTCAGGTCGTCCCCCTCAGCTGCCCCAGCCCTGGCCAATTCAGCCACAGTCCTGCAGGCTCTGCCTCCAAAACAGACCTGAGATCCCTGAGGCCCCGCTCTCTCCCCACCTCATCCTGTCTGAGCCATGCCACCACGGCCTGGATATCTCTCACTGCCGTCCAACTGTCCTCTCTGCCTCCGTCCTGCCTGCCTCCCATCTCTCCTGTACAGAGCGACCAGTGCAATCCTGTTCCAACATCAATAGGATCAAAGCAGTCCCCTGTCCAGGGCCTCTAATGGGTCCCCACAGCACCCAGAACAGAAGCCCAACCCCTGTCCGCAACCTCCCCGGCCCTGCCTGAGCTGCTCCCTGCCAACGTCTGCAACGCCCTCTCCTCTGCAGCGCTCCCCATCCGATCCCAGCCACTGCTCCAAACACTGCATCCTTGTTGCTGTCTCAAGGCCTCCCCCTGGCTTGTCCCTCTGTCAAAACACTCTGCACCCAGATCTCTACAGGCCTCACTGCTTTTTAGACTTTAGGTCTCAGCCAAAACCTCCAGTCTCCAGAAGACCCTTTCTTCCCCATCTAAAGTAGGCTCCCCAAGGCTTTTCAATCACCCCAGCTCCCAGCCCCTGACATTCACACCCTGTCACACCACCACACTTATTTTCTTGTGAGCACACCTTGTAATTTCCGCTTACTGCCCCCAGCCCCAGGAGAGTGTGAGCGCCCTGAGCAGCGACCCGGAAAGTTATGTTTGCTGCTACAACCCCAGGCCCCCAACAGGCCCTGCCCCAGGCAGACACTCAATAAGTACTTGGCATTAAGTACTTTGGAATCCCCTCCTAGGCTAAGAACAGGCAGTTAGCAAGTGAGTGATGGAGATTCAGAGATAAATAAGGCACCGCTGTTGGAGGGACCCACAATCCAGGGCTCCAAGTGGAGCCTAGCTGTTAGCTATCAGCACAGCGTTCCAGCCCTGTTCCCACCAAGGAGCCCAGGAGCCTGGCGGAGGATCAGCTCCTCTGGAGAGGCCCAGGGAGCACTTACAGCCAGGCATCTAGGGAGCACTTAGAGCCAGGCATCTGGGCCAACCGTGGCAGCACGAGCAGGGGCTCCTCCGGGAGAAAAGTCCTAAGACAGAGTGGAGTTGGATCCAAACCCTATGCTGTCACAGTCAGCCATGTAACCACCTGGCCTTGAGAAAAGGAGCATTTCACACAAGACAGTGGAGCTGAAATGCATACTTCTCACAGCCTGGCTCGAATCCTGGCTCTGCCACTTAGAGGGCTGCCTGACTTAGGGCAAGTCACTTCGCGTCTCAGTGCTCACACTGGTAAAACGGGGCAATAACAGGAACTCCCTACAGGGTTGTTGTGAGGATCAAAGCAGATAATCCACAGGAAGCAAGCCCTCGGCCCAATGCATCCCCCACAGCTCTAGCTTTTGAGGCTGCGAGGTGGCTGAGTGGAGGTTTGCTGCTGACTGACTAGGTTAATCATGATGAACATGCAGACAAGGCCCCGTGCTGATGCTCCCGATGCCTTCAAGGAGGAAGAGATGGACAGACATACATGCTCATCTCCTTTTCATCCAGACTACAGAGCTCCGTGACTCAGTGATTACATGAACTGAACATGCTGGAAATACTTCCAAGGAAGAACTGAGACTTAAAATGGGTCCTCGACAGAAGAGCAGGACTTAGAAAAGGTATCTGACAGCCTTGGAGACTAAATCTTGGTCACCCTCTCAGTTTAGAGAAACGAAAAATGCAGCTAAATAATTCCAGTTACTAGAGGAGGGTTTAATGAGAATTTTCTCAATGGGTAAACCTTGCAACATACATTAGATTAACCAAGATGCATTGTAGTAAAGTACAGAATTCATCAGCATCATGTTTAAAAAGTAACACATGGCTTCATATTAAAGTGGAAACAGATAATCTTGAAAAATAAGGGAGCTAGAAAGCCTTCCCACCTCACTCTTCAGGGTTTTTATTGCTTTTCGCTCAGCCCCACGCTTCTGGGAACCCAAAGGCAAGCTCCCATTTCTCTGTTCCAGAGTCTGGATGGTGGAGGCAGAAGCAGCCAACACAAAGCTAGACGCGGCCTCCCCAGTCTAGGCACACAGAAGTGTGCCTGGGGAGCAGGTGCCAGCACAGCCCTGCCTAGTGTTAGGCAAAAAGACAAGATATGAGCCAGTGGAGGGAGAATAAGGCCAGTGGAGCGCCCTAAATGGGACTCAAGAGTTAACCAGATAAAACCAGAGAGCGAGAAAGGACTCACAGAGTTAAAGAATTAATTAGTTGAAGTTTCAAAGTCCAGGAGCAACTTGGAACATCCAGATATCCCCCAAGTAAAGAGAAGTATCAGAGAGTAGCCCCAATTAGATCACTCCATTGTAAAATCTACTTAGGCTGCTAAAAAGGCCCAGATTATTCTTTAACTTAATCTATATGCTGTTCTTCATCTTCTTCCAGCTCCTTAATCAAGTGACTTTGTAACCAGGGCAGAAGACAGACCGCCAAAGTGTACCTTTGTGGACAAAGAATGCTGAGATCTGGACCAATACAGTCACCTAAACAACCGTATTCTTAAAAAAAAACTTCAATGGAACAATGATCACCATATACATCATGCTTTATGCTGACTCCTACCCAAAAGGCCCTATAACACTCCAAACCCCAAACCCTTAAGGGCACCTCCTCTCTGAGGTTGCCTGCACTCCCCTTTTTTTGAGTGTTCACCTTTTTGCCTTAAATAAAGACTTCTTACTGCTCATTATACTTTGTCTGCAAAGACTTGTCCAGTGGTGTGTTTGTTACTTTGCTATTTCATTCTCTTCTCCAGACTTAAGCACAAGTCTTCACTCCATCTCTGTCCTACTTCAGATAAGTATGGAGTGGCTGCTGAGAGCTCTGATTTGAGCTTGCAAGTTCCCATTGCCTGGGTGACCCGGATGGGACTGCAGCTGTACAATCCTCTTTAGCAGCCTGCCTGAAAATCTCCGTTTTTGCTTTGAATGTTCCCAGAACATTATGGTAATGTGCTCTGTGGCTCCCCCAAATCCTGGGATGGTAGAGACTCAGTTCCCATGCTGTACTGATTCAAGTGGACACTGAATGCCAGGTGACCCTGGCCTTAGAGTTGGCAAGGGATCTGCCCTATGCCGAGCAGGAGTTCAATGAGGTTCCCTTTCCTGCCTCTGTTCTTCCTTGCTCTCTGCTTCCTCCAAGTCAGCTGCCATTCCCTGCTATTCTCGCTTTAATGAATTCCTTTCTCACCTGGTATTCTGACTTCTCTGCACCTCCAAACCAAATTCTTTCCCAACACTAGAACTTCACTCTTTCAGCACTGGCTAGGAATGGCTGGAAAAAGGCCCGGGGGTTGCAAATGACAGCTGCTCGAGGTTTGGGGCCACCTGAATTAAACTAGCCTCTGAAGAATGACTTTTCTTTTTTTATGACAGTGTGATCCAAAGAAAAGGTCTTACCTGAACCTTCAAACCGCTAAGGTAAAGCCACCTGCCTCTCTCTACAGATCCCAGGTACTCCTATCATTCACTGAAGTGCAAAGTCATCCCAAAACTAAAAAGATTTTTGTTCTTTGGCACCTGTGTTTTATGCCCTTTCCTGCTAATCTTTTCATCCACTGGATGAAAAGCTGTATTTCCTCTGTGCTGATGAGAACAGGAACACAATTTGTGATCTGGTCCCAGAACACTAAGGCTGTCCAAAATGTCACAGAGATGTACACTCAGGCTGGGCAACTGCATGGTCAATACTGGCATTTATTCTTCATGTTGTAGCAGCCATCATTGTGAGCTCAGGCCCCAACACATTAGTGGGAAGGATTGTTTTGAATGTATGTTCACCTGTTCTTCAAATGAAGAGATCTGCCATCTGTACATTCTTAAGACTTCCAACAAGCAGCCTGCATCCAAGACCTCATCATCAGTAACTTCCTGGCAGGACAAAGCTGGGAATAAAAAAGTTAACACAATTATTAAATTCACCAGCAAAGCAACTAAACAGAAAACCTGCACAGCACAACATATCAAAACTAATTAAAAATTTAAGGACTGTAAAATTTGCCTTGGAATTATATCTCTTTTATCATTCTTCTTTATAGTTTTACTTAATGCTTTGTCCATTACTAGGCACTTTGTGTTTGTTGAATGAATATAATTTTTCATGAGGCTGCAGCACTTAGATGAAGTAACTGATTTTCAGATATCTGAATTACCATGATCAATATAGATTGTTGCAAGATTCTTATTGAATAAAATGATTTTAACTCACAACTCTCAGGAGCAAGAGGGACCTTAAACGTTCGAGTAGCCCAGCCCCACACTCAGTGCTTAGCTCCTCCCTCACAGGACTCTCCGCCGTGGCCAAAGGCCTTCACTTGTATTTGTCTGCATCTGAGCTTCTGATTATCACGGCGAACCACCAAGCTGTATGTGGCAGACTGAAAGGGGTCTGCTGGGTGGTTTACTTTTCAGTCATTGAGTAGAATCAAGCCCCATAAACAAAAATAAAAATCTGATGGGCTTATGAATTTATAATTACATCTAGATCAAGCATTGGCAAACTTTTCTGTAAAGCATGAGGAAGTAAACTTTTCGGCTTTTAAGGGCTGTATGATCTCTGGCAACTACCGAGTTCTACTGTTGCGGCATAAAAGCTGCCATAGACAGTAGGTAAACAAATGGGCATGGCTGTGTTTCACTAAAATTTTATTTATAAAACCAGGTGGATACCTTAATATAAAAAATAAAAAATAAATAAAAATAAAAAATTGCAAGAAAACAAAAGCAGGTGGTGGGCCAGATGTGGCTCATGGGACACAGTTTGCTAATTCCCGATCTTGATCGCCCCCCTCCACTGTGCATCAGGCTGGACCAGTACTGCTGGGCTATGGGAGATAAAAGCACAGGGCCTGCCTTCTCAGTGTAATTTCCAGGAGGTTCAGTGACACATAATGCTCCAGATAAATTAAACGAGCCTGTTTCTTCTCTCTGATTTGCAGTCAGTGAACTTGAGAGATTCCCTTGACGACCTCTTGCACTCTGGAAGTTCTAAACCACCCCTCTGTACGTGGTTGTGCCTGGGTGGTGACCTGTGCAAGCACAGCAGCCCTAGCAGGCAGGGCTGAGGAGTCCTGGGGTGTGTCTTACCAGTGCAGATTACTCTGAAGTCAGGTATCTACTCCCCAGAACAAAGAGGGCTCCTGAGAACAGGAACTGTACTTCCTTCTTCCTCCCATACTCCTCTGGCAGCCCTTCTGTTAGCTTTTACTCTCCTGAGGAAAAGTTTAATGTCCCCTTTAGCCCAATTTTGACTAAAACACTGTGAGGCAATTTGGTAATGTCTACGAATATTCACAGCCTACAATCCAGCATTTTGACCTTCTCAGGATCTATCCTATGGAAAAAAATGCTCATGTGCACACCAGGCATGTACAAGAATGTTCACTGCAGGATGACACCCAATGACACTGGAAGGCCCCAGATGACAAGGCAACGGCTAAGGAAGTTGGGGTATCTCAATATTATGGGTACTGTGCAATCATAAAAGTGAATGAAGATGGCAAATCACATATCTAATAAGGGATTGATATCCAGAACATAGAAAAAACTCCTAAAACTCAACAACAAAACACAGACAACCCAGGTAAAAAATGGACAAAGACCTTGAATAGACATTTATCCAAAAAAGACATACAAGTGGCCAATAAGTCCATGAAAAGATCCTCAACCCCACTTATCAGTAGGAAAATGCCAATCAAAACCATAATAAGATACCACTTCACACCCATTATGATGGCCATTATCGGAAAGACAGACAATATCAAGTGTTGGTTAGGATACGGAGAAGTAGAACCCTTTGTACCCTGCTGGTGGGAATGTAAAATGGTTCGGCTACTAGAGAAAAAAGTATGGCAGTTCCTCAAAAAATAAACAGAATTACCATTTGGTCTGGCACCTCCACTTCTGGGTATATACCCAAAAGAGTTAAAAGCAGGGACTTGAACAGATATTTGTATACCCTTATTCATAGAAGCATTATTCACATTAGCCAAAAGGTGGAAACAATCCAAATGTCCATTGACTTATGAATGAACTATACACATATACACATATATATACACACACACACATACACACACACAATTCAGTATTATTCATAGTCAGCCTTAAAAAGGAATGAGATTCTGACACATGTTACAATGTGGATGAACTTCAAGGATATTATGTTAAGTTAAATAAGCCAGACACTATAGGGCAAATACTGTGATTCCACTTACATGAGGTACATAGTCAAAAGCAGGAAGAGAAAGCATAGTGGTCACTAGCATCTGGGGCTAACACAGAATGGGGAGTTACAGATACGCAGTTTCAATGTGGGACGATGGAAAAGTTCTGGAGATAAACAGCAGTGATGGTTGCACCACAATGTGAAGGTACTTGATGCTACAGAACTAGCGCTAGCACTTAAACATAGTTAAGATGGTAAATTGTATGTGATGGATATTTTAATACAATTTTTAAAAAATGGGCAAAGGATATGGGCAAGCCATTCATAGAAGGCAAAATACAAAAGACCAATAAACTCACTAAAATAGAGAAAAAGTGAACAAGGTAGAGTTACAGGTACTGAAATGGAAATTTCTCTAATGTATATTATGTTATTTGGTTATAAAAAAATATAAAGCAATATACAATTTCTATGGGTACTTACAAACATATTTAAATGCATTCTGGTCTGGGGGAATGCACTTATATTTTCCTTTTGGGAAAGGAGAGGAATAGGATTGGGGTAATGATAAAGGGAACTTTTGCCCTATCTGTGATGCTTTACCTTTTACAAGAATTGATTCATGCATTACTTTTATAATTAAAACTAAGCTCTAAAAGCCAATAAAAGACATTGAGAAGCAGACGCAGAGAAGGGAGCACATATTCTAGGTGTTGCCGCCCTGGGATGGCTCCGTCACCGTCAGGACAGCTCCTAAACCTGCACAGAACACCAATGTGGACGCTTCAGCTTTTCAGCCTCCGGAATGTTTTTTTCTTTGTTAAACAGGGTCGTACAAGAACTTATTTTCAAATCGGGTCCTATACAGAAGACCAGAGCCTGTTTCTTGAAGATTGCTGTGTCAAGCTGAGGTGGCCTGGGAAAGTACCTCAGGGAAGCAATATTAAGTTGAGTGGGTTTTTTTCCCCTATTTCTTTTTTTAATTGAAATATAGTTGATATACAATATTATTTTGGTCTCAGATGTACAACATAGTGATTCAACAATTATATACATTATTAAATACTGAGTGTTTTTTAAATCCATTTTTTCCTGATTGTGAGGGTAACATATGCTCATTGCTGAAAGTTTGAGAAGTACAATTAGGGTTTTTTTGTTCGTTTGTTTAATGGTTTTAAACTATCAAGTACACAATACCAAAATGGCCATGGTTAACATTTTTGGTCTTTTTCTGTCCAGCCTTTGAGGAAAGTTTTGCTTTGCTGAAGTCAAATTATATCATATTTTGTATCCTGCTCCTTTAAATTTAATATTATAGCCTATGCCCTCTCCCAAATTAAAAAAAATAAACACCTCATAAAGATGGTTCTTTCTGGCTACATAATATTCCATAGATTGCTTATTCACTCTACTATGGGGCAACCACATTCTTTCTTTTTCACCACATTATAACTAGTGTTATAACAGCATTTGTGCATATAACAGCCCTTCCCAAACTGTCTTCTGTGGAATGTCCTCAGGATCTTAACAGATGTGAAGGGGAGGAAACAACACTTTTACAGTAAAAAAATGGTTGAAAAATGAAATTACATTGGTACCTTCTTAAAACTTTACCAAAGTGTGTATACTGTGACTCTTCAACCTTGGGGCCAGTGCTGGTCATTCCCAAACTCATTTGCTAGTTTGAACTCCATTTCAGGCGAGTGTAAATCATGGTCCACAGAATTACTAGGTCAAGTAGCACTAGACATTTTGTAAGCTATTACTGTGTAGTTCCAACCTTCTTTCCAGAAACACTGCTTTAAATTACACCACCACCAGTGTGTATGAACATGTCCACTGGTGGTCAGGATTCTGCATTTGTCTGTCTATCTTTGTTGACAGGCAAAAAAATAGTACCTTACTATTATGTTATTTATATATCCTTGATGATGGCCATGTTAAATATTTGAATGTTAGGTCACTTTGTATGTATCTAAATACAATTTCTCTTATTTCCTTTGAAAATTACCTTATTTGCTAGGCTAAGAGTACTTTTTTTTAGAAAACTTTAATATTTTTGAAACCAGAGTACAATCAAAATGCTTAACTGGCAATGGATTATTTTCATCCCTTAAAAGCTGTTACTAAACTGACAACTTTTAAAATAAATAGTTACATCTTTGATTTTTAAAAATATGTTTGTATTATTGGGCTCTTAGTGTTTTTTGCATAATAATCTGTATGATCTTTTTCTACACAAAGATTTCTGAAATTTCTGAAAATGCACACAATCCCCTTTAGATTCCCATCTAGATACCTTTCAACAGGTGCAACAGTGTTAAGGATAAATACTGGTGTGCGGGGGGCTCCTTCTGCTCCCCGGTGTACTGCGCAGTAAACTCTTCTAGCCACCTGACGAAAGCGGGGCAGGCAGACAAGCCTTGCAGCAGGGAGTTCATGAAGCAGGTGTTCCCCAAGTTGACAAGGCCAGGCACAAGCCCTTAAAAAAGTGGGGAGAAGAAGAGAAAGTACATCACATTTGACCAACTCTTTTTCCTTCTCCCATTAGGATCCCAGAATTTCTGCCCTATGGCCTTGAATATGAAATCCCAGTCTCAGAAAGTCCCCATCCACAGGGAGGAGGTAGGGGGGGCACCCCTGTTGCATGTTACTTTTGAAAGTGTCTGGCACAGTTTGGTTTACACTGAATGTACAAAAACACTTATTTAACATTTCTCTTTCCCCCACCCCATTCTCTCCCACTGCCTCTCTCTCTCTCTCTCAATGTTTCTCACAACAGAAGAAAACAATTGTTCTATTGTTGCTCCCCAAGACAATGATTTCGTTCTTATAATCAGTGGGAAAGCCACCATTATAGCAATTCTGATTATTTTTCTGCAAAGAGATCCGCAAAATCCTTCCCTCTGACTTACTTCCCTCTTCTGCCAAAAATTTTTTTAAACTTTTTATTATGAAAGTTCTCAAACATGCACAATACAGAAGATATACAATGAACCCCAATTATAGCCATCCCCAGATTTCACAGTGATCCACATTCTGCTACATTCTATCTCCCCTCCACACCCTCTCCCTCCATTTCCAGCTTTTTTAGATGAATTTTAATCAATATAGGTAGAGCAACATTTACAAAAGGGGGCATTTTAAAAAATGAAGAAACAGATATTTGTATTCATGAAGACACAACTGCAAACTAGCAGCTAGTCAGTGAAACCATAAATGCTAGTCAGGGAAACCACAGATGCGTCATGCAATTAGTCAGCTGTACTACTGAAAAACACAATTGCCATATTAATGAGAACACAGGCAATTAAGCCACGAGAAATTTTTCATTACACAGCCACGTCTCAAGACTTCTAAAGGGGATGAACTATAAATCTTTTTACCACAGGAGATAAGATAATGAGTCATAAAACTCTTGCATTAAGCAAAGTCCAGTTATAAAAGTGAAGATCTGAGAGAACCAAACACGCCCACCTCTTCTGGTGCCATTTTTGCGTAAGAAGGGTTTGGGGCAGGTCTGTAGGCCATGATGCAGCGGCCTCCTCCTTACCTTTTCTATGCTTCTTTCTTTCTGTGATGGGACCCCAAATCACATATATTCCTGCTGCAAGAGCAGCAGCAATTCCACCTATAACACCCCAGTTCTTCATGACTTTATATCTAAAAAAAGAAAACAAGTTTACTGTCTTCCCTCATCACACACACAACATGTGTATATACAGACATAAGTACACAGAAATAACATTATGTCAAAATAACCCACAGGCCCACCAAATGCCTACTGTTCATATTAAAGTAATAATACAGGTACAGGACGATGTCTTGAATATCTGCATGTTAACACAGAAGGATTTAAAACCCAAGTCAGAGCACAACCTTCCAAAAGGCCCAGCTGACTCAGAGGAGAAGCCAGGGTTCTCCTCCTACCCTGCCTCTCACTCCCCTACCACCCTGGCCTGGCTCCTGCCTCAGGGCCTTTGCGCTGCTTTTCCCTCTGCCTGGTGTGCTCTTCCCCCCAGATCATTGCTTGGCACATTGCCTCACCTCCCCTGCACTTGTAACAAACTATTACAACCTGCACTCTTGGTCCCTTTTACCCAGTTCTACTTTTCCCTTTTTTTTTTTTTTTTTAGATTCACTTATTCACTAACTTGAAACATTTATAAGTGACTGGTTTACTGTCTGCCTCCCTCAGCTGGAACGCAAAGTCCCTGAGGGCAGGATCTCCGTTTTACTCCCTGATGTATCCCAAATGCCTAGATCGTGCCTGGCACTTAGTAGATTCCCCACTTAGAAATATTTATTGAATGATTGCACACTGGAGAAAACATACAGAAATGAATTCATTGTTTACATTATTAGATGGGGATGGGACATAAAATAATATAGAAAGTTTTCTAGATTTTTTTAAAATTTTTTAATTTTTTTATTATTTTGGCATCATTACAATTATATGAGGAAGATTGTTTACTAGACTCCTCCCATCACCAAGTTCCCCCCACATTCTCCATTGTAGTCATTGTCCATCAGCATAGTAAGATGTTGTAGAATCACTACTTGTCTTCTCTGTGTTGCACAGCCCTCCCCATGCCCCCACCCCCACATTATACATGCTAATCATAATACCCCCTTTCTCCCCCTGGCCCTTATCCCTCCCTTCCCACCCATCCTCCCCAGTCCCATTCCCTTTGGTAACTGTTAGTCCCTTCTTGGGTTCTGTGATTCTGCTGCTGTTTTGTTCCTTCAGTTTTTTCTTTGTTCTTATACTCCACAGATGAGTGAAATCATTTGATACTTGTCTTTCTCTGCCTGGCTTATTTCGCTGAGCATAATACCCTCTAGCTCCATCCATGTTGTTGCAAATGGTAGGATTTGTTTTCTTCTTATGGCTGAATAATATTCCATTGTGTATAT